TCTATTTGAATTCTACTTCAACTTTTACAAAACAATTTCTTCTTTCTAAAATTCCTCTTTTTTTCAATATACTTTTATTTTTCTTCTTTTTTTCAATCAATTCTTCACTCAACAAATTATCTTCTTCTTCTAAATTCCTCAAATAAAAATCACTTCACCAAATTCAAATTAAAATTTTTTTTAAATTTAATCTCCGTTTTAATTCGCAACGGGTTCGTGGCACCAATATTATATCCCGGTTCTTCTAATTAATAAAGTTTAAATATATTCTTTTAATACTCAAGTAATTCTAACTTAAACAATACACAACGAATAATTATACAAGTTTATTTAAATTAAATTGGGTTTTGGTTTTGGGGAGCAAGTGTGATCAAGACGAGCTTGAAAGGTAAAAGATAAATTAGTATTTATAGGGTAAGGAAATGGGCGGAAGTTTAATATAAAATGGACAGACAGTTGTAAAGGTATGTTTAGATAAGAAATGTTTTAGGGGAATGTTTTGAATAGAAAATGTTTAGATAAAAGGGAAGCGAATGTTGATGAGGAATAGTTTGAATTTAATAAGGAAACATTAAAAGGGTTTACAATCAGGGAAAGAATATTTTAGAATAAATTGATAAGAAATATTTAAAACATGTTTTTAGGGGAATAGAAAAAAGAACATTATTTAAAACAAACAAAAAATCAAATATATGGATCCAACACTAGTAAAGGATTTGACCCTTTTACTTTGTTTGACCCGGTTTTAGTTTTAAGTTTTTCTCTGAACTTTCAGGTTAATTTATTTAAATTAAATACAAGCCTTTTAAATCAAGTTTATTTATTTAAAATAAAAGTATAAGATAATTAAGGTAATTGAATAAATGTGAGGGGTGTTTATATAGTCAAGAACTGAAGGCGGTGATTTGAATAAAAGTATATTTTAGATAGATAAAGAAGGGAAAGTAATAAAACACATTATTAAACAAAGTTACTTTTAATTTGAATATAAGCCAATGGGAAAAGTTTAAATTGATAAGGAAAGGAAAGGATTATTTTTAAATACACAAAGAAAAGGTTATTTTTAATGAGAAAGAGTTTAATATTTGAGTTGGGGAAATTTGGAAAGGATGAAAAATATTTAAATAAATGTCAATCAAAATTAGAAAAAGTATATTTAATTTAAAAAATATAAATCATTCTAAAATAACAAATCAAGGATCCAACACTCCTCCCTCCTTCAAATAAGCAACCACGGTAGATGTTTTGTTTACGGCGGTTTCCACCTCCATTTCCACGGAATGGGCTATAACAATCATTAAAACCTCTCTCGCGATCTAACTGACGCAACGTTAGATCGATTCACCCTCACCCTCATTATTGGTGGAAAGAGCTCTAAAAAAAATTTTTTTTTCTCAAGTTTATTTTCTATCTCCTCGCAACGAGGGTTAATTTTTAACAATTTCTTTAATTTCGTCCTCTTTTGAATTACTTCAAAAGGTTATTGTTTTTCTTTTGTTGTTAGTGGAATTAATTGTTGTTTTTTTTTCATCCATCTCCTCCCTCTCCAATAGTAGTGTTGTTTCCCAAAATTTGATGAATTTCCATTGTAGTCATTTTAAATGATGAAGTTACATTTTTTTTAAATTAAGACAACAATAATTAGATGAAAAAGCAGTGAACAATAAATAATAGTAAAGGAGAATAAATGGAATTACTTAAAAATATTAAATATGGTGGGGAGATATATACATAAGATTTTAAAAAGATAATTTTTCTCAACCTAAAAGGTTGGTTTATTTCGGAGACCGCCTCTGCGGATCGTCATTTGGTCCCTACGTGAAATACGTTCTGAACCATATTTATATAGATTCTCTCCGGATTGCTCTTTCAGAGGAAGTGAGCAATTTATTAATTTTTGCAGATTATTTTTTAATTTATCACTATTTATTAATTCTCCCGTCATCAAATTAAGTAAGAGGGGCATCTTCTTGAGAGATTCTCTTCCGATTATCACACTATATGTTCCATTGTTACTCAACACATCATTCACCACTGTTAATTTTGTTTTAATTTGAATATTTGCTATTTTTAATATTATCTCAGATTGACCAATAGCGGGTATAACTTTATTTCCAATTCCTATAACTCCGCTGCAATCTGGTTGATATAAGTCTGTAATTCCTAATCTTTTAACTGTTTTATTACCAACTAAAGAAATATGAGCTCCTGTAAGTGTTGGATACATGTCTCAACAAATAGGCGAATATTCTTCTAAAGGGGAAAGGAGTGTTGGATCCATATATTTGATTTTTTGTTTGTTTTAAATAATGTACTTTTTTCTATTCCCCTAAAAACATGTTTTAAATATTTCTTATCAATTTATTCTAAAATATTCTTTCCCTGATTGTAAACCCTTTTAATGTTTCCTTATTAAATTCAAACTATTCCTCATCAACATTCGCTTCCCTTTTATCTAAACATTTTCTATTCAAAACATTCCCCTAAAACATTTCTTATCTAAACATACCTTTACAACTGTCTGTCCATTTTATATTAAACTTCCGCCCATTTCCTTACCCTATAAATACTAATTTATCTTTTACCTTTCAAGCTCGTCTTGATCACACTTGCTCCCCAAAACCAAAACCCAATTTAATTTAAATAAACTTGTATAATTATTCGTTGTGTATTGTTTGAGTTAGAATTACTTGAGTATTAAAAGAATATATTTAAACTTTATTAATTAGAAGAACCGGGATATAATTGGATTTCCGTCATATCCAGAGATGAAACTTCCTCCATTAAGAAATGGGTCTCCCATTTTAATTTCTGGCTCCAAAGTATTATCTAAATCAACCTCCTCATTTATTTCAGTTTCATCCTCAGATTCGTTTTGGGTTACGGCTAAACTCATTTTTTCTTTAAAATTATTTTCCAAATTTTTCAACGAATTACGCAGTTTTGTAATGGAACCTTTAGTTCCAGATAAATTATTTTTATTAGTTTTAACATTCTCCTCTATTGTATCAATTCTTTTTTCAAGATGACGGAACGAATGTGCGACAGTTTTTTCAAAAGCTCTCAAACGAGTCAAAATCGTTTGGAAGTTATTTCTCTCTGTAGGGGTGAAAAACTCAGGATCAAAATCGGATCCGGCCATTTAAACAATTTAAATAAAATTCAAAAAAAGATTTAAAATTTACTAAAAAAACAAAACAATTTAAATTAACAGAAAATAAATTTTCAATTTTTCGTCAGCACACAGCTCAGACGATTTAAATTTACTTCGGTTTGCCCGCACAATGCTCAGGACACCGGATATTTCTTTCAAAAGGTTCGCCCGCACACAGCTCAGGACACCCAAATTTATTTTCTTCACAAAAAGGCTAGCCCGCACACAGCACAGGACACCTTATAAAATTTCTCCTTTTTACAGGGTTCGCCCGCACACAGCTCAGGACACCCGAAAATATATTTTTAAAGTGCACTATAGGGGTCCGCACACAGCTCAGAACTCCCTTTTATTTTCAAAAAGATGATCCGCACACAGCCCAGATCAACAAACTCAAAATTTGAGTCGACTAAGCTCGAATCCTAAAAATATTTTTAAAAAATTTTAGCTTAAGCTTTCGCTTAGCTCCTCCACAACTATGTGTGGGGTAGGGAGTAATTCTAACTGGCCATTAGATTGCCTCTTCCTACCCCACACATAGTTGTGGAGGAGCTAAGCGAAAGCTTAAGCTAAAATTTTTTAAAAATATTTTTAGGATTCGAGCTTAGTCGACTCAAATTTTGAGTTTGTTGATCTGGGCTGTGTGCGGATCATCTTTTTGAAAATAAAAGGGAGTTCTGAGCTGTGTGCGGACCCCTATAGTGCACTTTAAAAAATATATTTTCGGGTGTCCTGAGCTGTGTGCGGGCGAACCCTGTAAAAAGGAGAAATTTTATAAGGTGTCCTGTGCTGTGTGCGGGCTAGCCTTTTTGTGAAGAAAATAAATTTGGGTGTCCTGAGCTGTGTGCGGGCGAACCTTTTGAAAGAAATATCCGGTGTCCTGAGCATTGTGCGGGCAAACCGAAGTAAATTTAAATCGTCTGAGCTGTGTGCTGACGAAAAATTGAAAATTTATTTTCTGTTAATTTAAATTGTTTTGTTTTTTTAGTAAATTTTAAATCTTTTTTTGAATTTTATTTAAATTGTTTAAATGGCCGGATCCGATTTTGATCCTGAGTTTTTCACCCCTACAGAGAGAAATAACTTCCAAACGATTTTGACTCGTTTGAGAGCTTTTGAAAAAACTGTCGCACATTCGTTCCGTCATCTTGAAAAAAGAATTGATACAATAGAGGAGAATGTTAAAACTAATAAAAATAATTTATCTGGAACTAAAGGTTCCATTACAAAACTGCGTAATTCGTTGAAAAATTTGGAAAATAATTTTAAAGAAAAAATGAGTTTAGCCGTAACCCAAAACGAATCTGAGGATGAAACTGAAATAAATGAGGAGGTTGATTTAGATAATACTTTGGAGCCAGAAATTAAAATGGGAGACCCATTTCTTAATGGAGGAAGTTTCATCTCTGGATATGACGGAAATCCATCAGTTTCGTTTTCTAAATGGATAGAAAAGTTTAAGGATATTTTAAGCTTAATTACCACTCCGCTTACAGAAGAACAAAAACTAGCTCGATTGAGATTTTGTTTAAATGGCCAAGCTAGAGCAGTATATGATGGAATAAATCCCGCTCCATTAACTTTAGAAGCGGCTATTTTGATTTTAAAAGGTCGATACGAAAACGGGAACACAAAAATTATTGCCCGACAAGCTTTATCTATTTGTAAGCAGGCCCCCGGAGAACCCGTTTTTGACTTTTCGAATAGGTTAAATGAAGCCGTTCGAACTGCGCTTAGCGGAGAAAATGAAGAGACAATACAGAAAAGACTATTGGAAGAATTTTTAGATCGACTAGTTCCTGAATTGCAGTTCCAGGTTAAGTCACATAGGCCCACTGAATATGGTATGGCTTATGAACAAGCACAGCATTTTGAGTTATTATTGAGTGCTAGAAAACCTGCCGTGAATATTTCAATGTCGGAGTTGGCAGTTGATGCTCTTGTAGTACCTAAAAATAAACATGAGTTTGTTACCTGCTATAGTTGTAGAAAGCAAGGCCATATTGCTCGTTATTGCCCACAAAACCCAAGAAATTATAATGGAGAAAGTGAAAGACAATGGAGCTATAATTCTAGAGCAAATTACGGTTATAGGAATTATGATAGTAGACCAAGGCAAAATTATAATGGAGGATATAGAAATAATAAAGGATATTCCACGAATCGTCGTGAGGAAAATAATTCATGGAATTACCATAATAGGCAGTCACCGATAAATGATAATTATAGAAATGATAATTACAGGAATTACAGTAGTCATCAAAATCGCCGAGAAAAGTCAAGCTCGAGAGAAAGTAGTAGGTCTTCTGAACATAGATCAGCACTGCGCGTTGGATTCCACCGCAGATCAAGCCCAAATGTTAGAGTTGTGAGCCCACTACTATTTGCGTTTATTGCTATTATATCAGTGTTTTGCAGTGCAAGCGCTCAGAATCCGATGTGTAATGCCCCAACATCGCTTTGGAAGTTTCCGGATGCGCCGACCTGTTATTCTTGGCAACAATTCGAGTCACCGATACCCCTAAACCTGTACGTGGACAGAGCAAATACATTAGATTACAAAGCACCGGCGACAGTATTTAAATGTGTTAAAAGTAAAATGTATAAAAGATTAGGCATTTTTGGTTCAAAAATGAAAGAAAAATTAACAGAAAATACAAATCTACCGATATCTCAGCGCTGGCCTTCTAAAAATTCTGGTGAAGAGAAATCAAATAATACAGAAAATGAAAATAAAATTGCTGAAGATAAGATAGTGGACATCGAGTCCGGGATTAGCGGACTCAGAACTATATCATCCTTTTAGGATGAGAATAATTTAACAAATATTTATTAATATTTTCTTCGTTTATTTAATATGTATTTCTCCCCATGTCTCTAAATTTTAATTTTTAATTACTGCTTGTGTATATTTTTTTGTATGTTTATTTTTCTAATTCAACATGATTAAATTTATCTTCAATTTCTACTTCAAATGGCTCTGATGGAAATGTTTATTACATGGAAAAGGACAGCGGCAGTTTTGGCTAATAACAACACCAATTATGAAAATTTTCCTCCAACGGATGGAGAGAATGGAATAAAAAGACTCCACTTTGAAATTTAAAAGAAAATTTTTTAACTATGGATCCTTTAAAACTAATATAAATGTTTATGATCTCTTTGCGAGATTAATCTGATAAAAGTAGTTATTTTAACTAAAATACACTAAAAAAAATTAACCCATCTTTTGGAGTAAATTCACTAAATAAAACTAATAAACTTATCCGCTGAAAGCGAGGCTTTTCTTAATTTACTGTCTTTGCCCTAGAAAGGAGTTTGTTGCAACCAAATATTATATGAAGCCCAAACCGTTCTGGCTGTAGCGGATTTGGAGGTGGAGGATCAAGACTACCTATGCCGTTGCTGCACTAATTTGAAGGAGGGAGGAGTGTTGTGTATTGACATTTGAATTTTGGTTGAAAATATTTATTTTGTAATTTTCCCTTTTCCCATCCTTATATTTAATCTCCTTTATTTATTTAAATATTATTTTTCCTCTTAGCTTATTTTTATATATACTTCCCATTTCCTTCTTTGTCTCTTCAACCCAAACCGCTTCTTATCATTAATAATTTAAACTTAAACTTTCAACCATATATATTTGTTTTCCGCCTTTTTCCTTCCTATAAATACTTATCTAATTCCCCACAATTTTACCTTCTTTTGAACGTAACTTGAAAATTATTTATTTGTTTTAAATAAACTTGTTTTAAATAAACCTTAAAATAAAAGTGTTTTAAAAATATAAATTGGAAACCCGAATATACGTATTCGGAGAATTAAAATAAATAGTTAGAAATAAGTTAGACCCCGGACCTAATACTAAACTTTTTAAATATTATCATACCGTAAAGTAAATTTTTCGTTAAAGGATTCTAATAATGTGATTAAATAATAATAAAAATTAAATGTCGATAACTAAGGATTAATATTTTTCCAGTTTATTAAAAAATTAAGTTTTTAAAATTTGTCTCGTAGAAAATATATACAGGAATTTAAAAATTAAATAATTAATAATACTTGTTTATTTTTCATTTTTATTTTTATATCTCATTCCTTTAAAAGAAAATTTGTTAAAAACAAAGTTCACTATTAGCTTAAAATTAGAAAAAAGGAGGACAAATTCTAAGTAAATCAAAGATAGGCCAAAAAGATAACAAAAATTTTGTTGGCAAGCCAAAAAAGCCACGAAGTAATAAAATAACAATTAAAATCTAAACAAAGTTAGGGGAGCAGTTACATTACCGTCAGTAAGTTTATTTTTCAGCTATAATAGTAATTAAGAAATTAATTAAAAATAAAACCATAATAGTAAATTATTAAAATTAAAAATGAGTATAAACCAAAGTGCTTAATTAAATTAAGATTTTAAAAATATTGAATTGAAATACGGAAAGATGCAGCCTCTATTAACTTATAGAAGTCAAAAAATAACATTTAGTTAAAATTAAATTATTAAATATAAATACAGATAACAAAAGAAAATAAAAAGAGTATCCAAATAATAAATTATGTTATAGAAAAAACGAAAAAGATAAAAAACGAAAAAATTTTAATAATAATATATGTAAACTTTTTTAAGCATTATTTTAATTAATTTTTGGTAAATAATAATCAAAAGATTTTATACTTTCATCTATTATTTATAAGTAATTATCTGGAAAATAATAAGCAAAATACTAATAAAATTTTATTAGATAATATTCATTATTATATAATATTGAGTTTATTGTATAGGTTATTATTATAACTGGACTACATGCTGAAGTGGTAGCTGTGTTTCAGGGTGACCCTTTTACCCTATTTATAGGGTAAATAAACCTTCGTCGACCCCTTATTACAAGCCAAGTTTTTATCGCATATTAAACATTTTGCAGAATTTTCTGAAGTGCTTTTTTCGAAAAATTTCCATATGCCTAACGTCTTTGGCATTAGAATTTTTGTTGAAAATTTTTATTTTTAATAAATTTATCTAAATATTTGTTTTTGTATGGGCAGAACGCCAACATCGGAATATGTAAATAATTTTTGTAATTTAGGTGGAAATTTTTTAAATTTTCTTCATATATTTTTCACAAAAATGGCATTTTTTGGGCATATAAAACCCCGAAATTTTTCGGGTCGGGGAACGGGGTTTTCATTTTAAATCGGGGCGGGGTTCGGGTCGGGGAGAATCGTAAAAAAATCGTTCGGGTACGGGGTCGGGGTCAAACCCTAGTTTAAAGCTGTAAGCTCGCATTCGATTCAAAAAAATTCGTCAACAAATAGGTCAATCTGGTTGGACACCATCAATTAACCGAACGGGAAACTGAAACCATGGGATCGAAAACCGGTGTGAACGAAAACTTGAGTTCGGTTAATAACCGGTTGTGAAGGATGATAATCGGCGAACAAAGAAACCATTTATTTCAATAATATTTATTTTAGAAAACCAAATTTAAAATAATTTTTTTGGTGCTGGTCAGGGCTGTGCGCCAAAATTTTCGCGTGGCGCGCCAAACGCCAAACGCCAATTTTTCAAATTCTTAAAACACGCCAAACGCCAGAACGCCAAAATCGGCCAAAAATGGACGCCAAAACGCCAAAACGCAACGCCAAAACGCCAAAATTTTCAGAATGTATATAGCCCCAAAAACCATATAAATTTTCGCATTTTAGCGCCGCAGGCAAAAATTTTAGATGTCTAGGAACCAAAATTCATTCTTTATTAGCTCGGAAAGCAAAAATAATGGCAATTCCTGATCGGGGGAGCAATATATGTTCGGAAATACATATAATAGGATCTGGAGGAGAGTTAAAACAGATTTTAGATTATTAAAGCATTTGAGGATATAAGGGGATGATATAATGGAATTTCTGATGATATAATGGAATTTCGAGGAATTGAGGGAAATCCGGGAGGAAAATCAATTATGATATTTCATCGGGATTAAGATAGATATTGGACCATTTGAGTGAATTATGCTGGATTCTGAATGTCTCGGGATAAGACTTATCGGGATTGTGATTTAAAAGAGCGGGATAATCCTGCTCGATCTCGTCCCGATATCCGCCAGCTTTGGTTTAAATGATAACGGGATCAAGGAGTAACTTGGAAAGATTAAGAGAATTTAAAGGATATAGGGGTTAAAGAAAAGAGCAGGGGGATTGGACATATATCGGGGAGATCAGTTTATTTAATAGATATCCGTACTATCCAAATTTGGGTTCCAGTTATGGAGCCGAAGCATCATAGTGATATTTAGAGCTTCTACTAGGAGGCTATGAACCTAACTACTTGGAGGCCATGAACCTAAATTTCTTCCTTTTTAAGCGCCGCAGGCGAAAATTTTTAAAATCTAGGAAGGCTGTAGTCAGAAAAATTTAATTTTTTAAATCATCCCTCTTCCAATTTATTCAAGAAATCTCAATCATTAGGGGTGTAAAATTTTGGCGTTTTGGCGCGCCAAAATCGTAAAAACACGCCAAACGCCAGAACGCCAAAATCGGCCAAAAATGGACGCCGAACGCCAAAACGCCACGCCAAAACGCCATGGCGCACAGCCCTGATAGAGGCTTTCTGTCAGATAATTATTAATTTGATATTTAAATATTTATTTTTTAAAAAACTTCTTTTTTATAGCTTTTTTCATTAAAATTCAAATAATATAAGCCTATTATCAAAAAATATTAAATTCAAAATACATTTCTAGTTTTTGATATTTAAATATATCTTTATAATCAATATACCGTATTTATTCTAATAGAGTGGCCGCCACTCTATTTTTCGATACCCCCAAAAAGGGGCCATTCTATTGGAGGGGCCATTCTAATGGAGGTGGCCATTCTATTTTTCATAGGTAAAAATCAGAGATAGGATGAATCAAATGTTTGATCGAATATTTTTTGACTTCGAAATTTAATCGATTTTTCGTGTAAAATTCTATATTTTCGACTTTGGTTAGTGAATATTTCTTTTCGTAACACTATAAAACATAAAAATCTTTTGCCTGCTGGGCAAAAAGGCAACTTTTAATTTACTTTGGTGCCAGACAATCAAAATTTCCGGTATAGTTTGCTCATAAAAGTTCGTGGGATCTCGGAATTTGGACGTAATATATGGGAATTGGGAGAGATTTGGAGGAGGACTTCATTAAAGAGATTTGGAGGAGGACTTCATTAATTTAATAAAGAGAGGAGGACTTCATTAAATCGTTGTAATTTCTTGATATCCCTCCTAATCCTCTCAAATCCCCTAATATCCCTCTTAATCTCCCTTTTATGACTTCAGATTTGCTCGTAAATATTATGATTATCCTTACTAAAGAGTAATATTTAATACATAATAGGAAAATAAAGAAATGTATTCAGGCATATACTTATTAGTTAAAAGGGCCATTCTATTAGAGGGCCATTCTAATGGAGGTGGCCATTCTATTTTTCATTACCCTCAAAAAGGGGCCATTCTATTGGAGGGGCCATTCTAATGGAGGGGCCATTTTATTAGAATAAATACGGTATATTTACTGAAGATTTATTTTAATTTTTTAACACTAAATGCTTTCAAATATGAAAGCATGACTAATTTTATACTATAGAGTAGAAGTCCTTACAAAAGCATAAGTTTATGTTTATTTTTTGTATTAATATTATTTTTTATTTGTCTATTTATTTTATTTTCTTTAATGAATTTACATTTTTAACAATTAATTGATATCATAGTCCATTTCTGAAAAATACTATTGCTAATCCTCTTCTTATTTCTTTATTGAACCTCCTGAGTCG